TTTTTCCGCCCTCGGGTGGTTTTGGGAGGCTGGTACTTCCTCGGGCAAAAAAGCAGTTTTCCGGAACTCGTTCGAAAAGTCTCCTTTACGAACCTCGTTACGGACCTCGCCTTCGGCTCGGGCCGCAAACCTCTCGGTTCGCAAACAGAGACTTTTCAAACTCGTAGGAAAACTACCATTTATAAGGACACTAATTAGCTGGGAAAAAGCTCGTGTATTTTGTTTATAGACACAGAAGTTGGAAATAAAAAACTCCCAAACGTTTTGAAGTTCATCACGTTTTTGTGATTTAGCGCTCGACGCTTAAGTAAGTAATTGCCAGAGGAACACCGCGCAATTACTTGCACTGGGAAAAAGTGAGGCCCCCCCAAAAGTTTCCGCGGAGCTAGAGCTGCTAATCAGTACCGCCAGGCTTATATAACTTTCGCTTAAATTTTGCCGAGTACTTGCTTCACTCGATTAAAAATAGGAAAAAAAGAGGCTTTAATTCGACTAATTAAAATTACAAGGCGATTAAATATATACATCCTATACAAGTTTCAACGTCACTATGACCCAGCAATCATTGGCGAGAGTTTACGTTGAACCCCTTAGTTTAGATCGACGGATTCGACGAGCCATTCACACACCTTCGTAAAGGGTCCAAACGATTTTAGATACCAAAATTTGTTAACGACTCGAAAATGATTCAATAGTAATTAGAGTTTTACATTTCATTCGATGGTTTTTCTTGATACCATTCGAATCTCATTTACGTACATCATTTGCAAATGATTCAACTAACTTGAGATGATTTTTAATTTTATTTTAATTTTCAAGTAATATTGTGGTCTGGCCCTTGCGCGGGCCATTAATAATAGCTGAAAAATTTTGCATAAGGTGTACTTTCCTACACAAGAAATCAAGGCGTTGCGTTAGGTCCGAGGGCGCACGCGCTGTCTCGAGTAAAAAAACCTTGAACAGATCGGGCTTACGAGTGTGTAACGAGAGTGCGACTCCCTTCTATGACCCTACATATTTATACCTGCAGGTACGTTGCGCAAGATATCGTAAGACAGCTTTTTGCATGAATTACATTGTACCACGTAATGTACGTATTAAAAGTTTTACTTCGCACAATTGAGGGTAAACAAAAAAAAAAAAAAAAAAAAAAAAAAAAAAAAAAGGTAAGCGAGTGTACAGGCAACGATCGGCAAGCGAGATTGGATCGAGGAAAGTCGCCTCGTAATCCCTTTCCCCTCCCCCTATGGACCTACTCCAACGATCCCAAACGGAGATTCAATTGATCAGATGCGCGGAGTAATACCTACACATTGCGAAATTGGGCTGTTGGGACGACACCGGCGGTGGATGAAGATCCGTTGATGGCAGGAAGGGAGGACAATTTGGGCGAGGGAGGTGCAGTGATAAAAGTCGCTCTTTCCATTTTCGTCGAATAGGTAATTATTTTCGCGGTGCGCGCGCGCTAGCTCTTGCGAAATAGTATACACCTGATGGGCAATGTATATACGGAGAGATGCAGAGATGGAAATAACAGACGCGCGGACGTGCTTTTATCAAGAGTGAGTGCATAGGTACGTGTCGGCCGTTAATCTTCGGTGCATGTTTGAAAAGCTTTTATGGTTCGCCTTAAAAAAAATAAGGAGAAAAAGACAAACCGGTTGTTTGCTTGAGTATAGGAGAGTTGAAATTAATTCNGATTTTCTGAATTTTTACTTATTTTTACTACATTATCACTGTTGCCCTGTATCAATTTTGACTGATGGACCAAACGACGTATTGTTGCGCTGGTTCTCCATGGCTTCCATTTCCCTTAATATCCAATCGACATGCGACGAAACCTTTGTGAAAATTCTTCCATCTGAACCAGCGATTCCAACCAACACGGGCCGGTAATCATAAGTTTGAATCAATATTGCGCCAGGGGGATTCTGTGAATCATTAATGGTGATTAATCATGTTTTCTAAATTAATATTTTTCATCACAAAAGTAATTTTTTAACGTTGAAGTACCGGGGGAGAGTCTAACTCGAGAAAGCCTCGGATGCAAAATGTCGATGTCGACATCTTAGTCTGCAAAATCTCCTCGCAAGACCCTTCGTTCAGGATTTGAGCTTTATTGTAATATATTGCATAATACCATTTAATAAAGTAGACATATGAATTCCATGTTATAAATAAACTGTCTTTTTTCATTTCAACATTTGCATTAGCTGTGGGCAACGATACAACATTTACGTAATCGTTGAGTTCCATTTCTTCCTTCAACTGCAATAAAGCTACGTTATTCTCTATTTGTTGTCTGAAAAAATTTTAATTATTTATGAATCACATCATCATCTATTGCAAATCACCTATTTGATGCCAAGTTAATATCTTACGTTGGTCTAACGATTTTATTGATGGCAACTAATTTTGAACCTTCTCCTTTAGTATAAGTATCAAAAAAATCAAAAGCAACATAGCTGTCATTCTTGTCCAATTTACAGCTGTTACTTATTATAGCATAGTTTTTTTTAATGAGTGCACCACCACAAAGCGATTGAACCGAGTATTTTTCTGTGTTTTTTGGGCGGACTGTTACGTAATATGGAAATTGTTTCGTTGCGGCCCAGTATGCGTTGGTAACTTATTTAAAATAAAATTCTGTTAGCTTTTAAATGATTAATCATAGAATC